TCAAACCGGTGCTGCTTCCACCTTTTTTACCCAATATCGGAGGCCTTGGTGTGGAAATGATCGGTTTCGTTTGTAGGATAATATCAATATCAGTTCACCCAGTGGAGTTGGCTAAAATCTCTTATTCTGGACCAAACCAGAAAAGGTGTCTGAACCACAAGTTTCTGGTTGTGGAATTGGTCACCCATCGGCTTAACTGGGTATGAAAGTGTAGTGGGCACCTTAGGCGGTTCACCCATTTAACGAGCGTATAATACGCGACGGCCTGGACACCATCCTGTTGTCTTGAGGGTTTTGAATTCCCGAAGAACATTCACCTGCTTTTGCCTGGGCAACCTGACAGTATTCCGCCTACTACCAAATCAAGCACAATCTTCTTTGTTTAAAAGGCTACACGTTTCAATCCCGTATGACTTGACTACGAATCAACCCACTTATATTCCACTCAGAAAGAGGTGGTCTCCAGTTAATCGGTCAACGATTGATTAAGCGAATCATCGGAATCAACTCGAATCTTCGGAAGTGCAAGGTTACCGGTTGTATGAGAACTGAATTGAACCGCGCGTACGTACACTTAAAAAAGAGAGGGTCGGGGACAAGAAATTGGGCAGAATAAATCAGGGCATTCAAAATTCTGCACCTGACCAACAGATATCATGAATAAAGTGTCACGAGACATCTCTATGTGAGTGTCGTTGGATATCATGGTTCGTCAGAAGCTATACATTTGTTTATATTTTCACACACGTCTGAATCCAGACTGCGTGCCAAACAAATCGTAGTACAATAATCTTCATAAAAAAGAAAACATTCCAAGATTTACATAGGGGCCGAATACTGCCAGGTTGCCCAGGTCAAGGCGGGCGAATTGTCTTGAGGAATCCACAACCGGAGCATTTGGCTAGCCAAAGCCTGACCCGCAAGGCAGCGGGGGGCGGTGTGTGAAAACCGCAGTCCATTGGGAGCCGGTGTCCAGTTCATCCGATCATATACCTTTCGGACGGGGTCAAACGTCCAAGGTGTCCAATACACCTCGATGCCCAGTCGAGCCGGTGACCATTGCCACAACCGGGAAGGTGTGTGTGTGTGGCTCGTACGCCTCCTTTTGATTGGTTTTGAATCAGGGTTTTTGGCCAACTCCCCTAGGTGAACTACCATTGGTCAATCAAACCTTTCATGGCCCCGGATGTCGGGTGCGCGTCCTCTCACTTTGGTGGGGAAACACCTCCGCCAAGAGAAGGCAGTGAGCAGGGCTTCGTTAGCAGAGGCTATTTGAGATGCTTGATCGTTTAGGAGCATTTTGCTAGGTGCAAGGGAAGGGTGACCATTCGCGACCCTAGGCACTCACCCCCGACCATACTGAAGCTGTTGGAGGTCTTCAAGATGATGTCTAAGCGACGAAAGATCGTGAAGATTGAAGGCCAACGCTAACAGCAATCAATTTTTTGTCGGGAAGCGGTGTAATCTTAGCGATCGATGATTTAATGTGGCGCTAATTTTCGATTGTGCAGCACGTGAACATTCCGACCTCCCGTCTAGTTCTACAAGGAAAGGCCATGGACCATACAATTGAGTAGCGTGCAGTGGACTCACAGTAGACTCATAATGGACGTTTAAAAGACTCCCAGAACATTTGGTGTTGCACGATAAGTAAATAGACTCTGTATTTAGATGAGATGTACCTTCCAGATTTGATATGACGTAATGGAAGTTGGTAAGCGACGTTACTATGCAAGTAACACCAGCATGAGAATCTTTAACTAACCTTTGTGTCTTCACGAAAAGCGCCGCTTCATTTAATGCGGCCGCTCCACCCTTACAAAGGGGTGACGCTAACCAGCTTCGACTGAATATTGTTGGCTAAGAAAAGTAACGCAGGTGTTGCAAGTTATATTTTCAGGGGAATTTTTTCATGTTGCGCAAATGATGATTTTGGCCATTACGGGAACAGGATAAAACTAGATTGTCGCTGTTCAAACACCACTGTCTACGTCGCATTGCACGAGTCTGGTGGGGTAACCAGACGGGCAATGCTGAGACCAGACGTAGAGTTTTAGGTAATCGCGATGAAAATCGGATGGAAAAAGGTCAAGAGCCGTCAAACTAAGACCTGGCATGAGGACATGAAAACCCAACCAGGAGTCTCGGTCACGTGGGTCCCGTTAGGCTCCCTGGACAGGGACCCCGGGACCATGGTAATCCGGGGGTTAGAGACATTGAGTGATATGGATGGGTGTTGCAAGCAGTGGCGCTCGTGCATCTACGCATTGTTCTTGCAACCTCAGTCTTTATGAATCATCTTTCTGCTTAAATTTACTCTCGACATTCCAATGCGCATTCTGCTCTTTGATCCAAATGGGCGACCAATAAACAACAACCAAAACCGGCCCACGAAAGTACATTGTTAGTGGTTGTAAAAACTAATTTTCCGTTTGGCTAGTGAGCTTGTGCGGAGTTTTGCTCTAGGGTTTAGGCGTGAAACTGATTTGTTTCACGCGTGTGTCAGATTCGACGATTTTATCAATCATCATTGCACGCAACCACAGTCCTCCTTTTGACTGGTCGTAATTTATTTGCCATTGCGGTTGCTGTGCTACCGTTCGTTCGCGTGGAAGTTTATGACTGATTTGGTATGCCGAATACAGTTGTGTAGGGATGTGGAACAACGAGAATTATCAGTCTCTATCTGTCTTTCGTGGGTGGATTCTTTGTTTTCAATTCTACTATAACCGGATGAGTACTTGTATGTACATTCAGGCTGATACACTCTTTGTTCCCATTTAACCTGATTGAGCACCTGTATCCTAATCGGCTTATGATTGAGTGCCAAACAGAAATACCGTGTGGTAACCACTGTATCTCGTTTTACGATGATGGTGAACAGCATAAAGTAAAGAATTACGTTGTCTATCATTTCAGCATGTGTTGAACACAATCTATTTGTTAGTCTGTGCAATATCTCCTGTTTGGCTATGTACTACACTTGCTGAACCTGTTCAAAATTTATGGGTTGAGTGGCTTTGCCCTCACTAGTGTCAGACTTACGGAAGCTAATCAGTTGTGAATCGCCGTGTCCGTAATCTTTGTCACCGTTATCATTCTCAACAGTTGTGCGGACAAGGCTCGGGTTACACGTCTGACCCCCTTTCACCTTTCACACGCCTATAATTGCTTGTTGAGGCTCGGCTCACGCTCACCCCCTTTGCCGTTGCGCAAGGGCCGGGCAACTGTGTCCATGCGCTCCTTGGACAAAATCAATACCAAGATCTAATCTACGTGCTTTTATGCGCGCGTGTGCGTGTATATATATATACACACCCACCCGGTCATACGCACGTTATTCTGACCCGCATTGTCCGGAAATCCGGGTAGTTTACGGCACAACTCCGTCGAGTGGTGGTAGCCTTGATACGGCCGATGCATGCTGGTACACGCATTCATCTATGCTCGATCAGTGTGATTCGTTTTTTCTCCCTCTCTCTCCTAGTAGGCCACAAAGTTTTCTGTATTTTTTGCTTTGGTTCATCATAGATCATCCGTATGAAGTGACTCGGAAAATGAGCAGATCAGGTCTATGCTTGTACTTCGCTTATATTCTGTCCCGAAGGCTTGTACGAACCGCTGAATACAGCAGATAATACGTCGTTCCTCGGTTGCTCTCAACGTATATACAGTGACAAACATGAGAGAAGGATATGTGGATTTAAATGTGTGAGCGAGAGTATATACAGTAAACTGAAAATCGGATTGATTTTTGACTGCTGTTAAGAATCCACGTATAGGTGGAACTCGATCTCTCTGCAAGCTCTTATTCTAAAAGTCTGGAATGGGTCTACTGAAGACTCCTTCTTGCCTATATCAGCCAGAAACTTAGCAGCTGTAGAGATACTCAGAATACCTATTGCTTAATTTGTTTGGGCATGCCTTGACCATGGTTTACCTGTCCAGGTTACCTGTCGCCCAGTCGAGTTGACGATCATCGCATCTATAACTAACTGAATAACTAATAAAAGTACTGCTAATTATACTAATAATTAAATTCATTGCATATGCGTTATGTGGAAAGACTGGAATCATTGAGGCTGTACTCCACACAGTATCACCGAACTCGAGGGGACTTGATTTTAGTGTATCAACTGTTGTCTCCCAACACTCACCTCAGGGGGCACTCATTCAAGCGAGTGCTACAGATAGGTCGACTAGAATATCGGCGTCATTCATTTGCCCTCTGAGTGTGCAAGCAGAGCTACTTGGTAATGTGGTTGAAAGTTGGGAATTCCCACTGCATAACCATAACCAACGAATTTATTTATCGTAATTCACTCTGCATGAGGTGACCATGTCTGTGAACATTGCTATTTGCTCTCGAGAAATTCGGCGCTTGAAAATAAGTGATTGAGAACAATTCTCTATCTCTCCTCCGGGGATTTGTCCTCTTATCAAGAACACATTAAAGAACCTATCGATTCTGCCTAAGCGGTTCATCTTTGACAGATAGACAGACAATAGCAATTAAAGTATGGGAATTTCTTTGTTAACGCTGTCGTGTTGCTTTCTGCTTTTATTCGTGACGATGCCGACTCTGTCTCTCTGTGTATGTGTTCAGGCATTGTGATTCTGCACGAAGTTGAAATTCGAAGTTACACTCTCTTCAGGTCTTGGCAGTTTACCTCCAGACAGATCCATTGTGAGCCAACTTGAGGTCATCGCATCAGGTCAGGGTACAATCGCTTCCGTTGTTCGCGTATCGTGCTATCGTACACACTGGCTTAACGGTCGGGTGAATCCATCAGTTCAGTCTCCCCCACTATCTTCAGTTGATCTGTGTGTGAGAGAGAGAGGGAGAGAATAATGAAGCTGAATGGTGTTGTTCGTTGCCTATTGTAAACCGAGAATTATTGACGAGTTGCGTGATGAACATTCGGAAGTGTCACTCGTGGAACACCAGCGACAGGTTGCCAACTATTCTGGGCAATACAAGTGGAGCAGAAGTACTGCTTTCTCCATTTTCATGTTTAACAGTTAATCGGGAGAGTTAGACAGATTTAATATTGCCGAGTTTCTTCAAATGTGACCTGATTGGAACAGGGAAAGAGTACAATTCACGAATAATAAGACCTGTTTCTACTCGGAACCAATCATTGTGTTTCGGTCTATGTGTGGATCATCGCACGGACCAATTCGTCTGTTCTCTCTTTCATTTGAGTGTTCTCCATACGGATGTACTGTGTTCACTTGATGTTTGGACGAAGATCATTGCTATTCGTCTCAAGGTAAGCGCGGTTACATATTTGCTAATTCTGCGAGAAAAAAATCGAACAAATTTACAACACATTTGACCCTGATATGGGTCATCTCGAATCAATAATAGTCTCGCGGAGATTAATCAATAATATTGTGTCGTACGGCAATATTCACTCAGTCCGTCCGTCCGTTTGATCCGTGACCTATGACCGATTGAACTTTGCTCGCTCTGTAACTGATTGGTACAATCTTTTTCTTGCATCGATCGATGTTATTTTGAGTCACACACATATAAGCACCAGAGTATAACTTGTAAATTGACTTGTGACTTGTGTGCAAGGCTATTCCAAACCTGTGTTGCTGAAGCCGTGCCTTCTCTCTTGTGTTTTGGGAGGCCTGAGAGATCGATAGCCGACCGCGCGTCCTGTGTTTCGCCTATGTAGCTTCTGCTGCTAGAACTATCATTCATTCACGGACTTGGTGCTAGTCCGCTGTTCTCGTGTTCCCGTGTTCTACAGGTGTTACCGTGCTATATCTTGTGTTCTTTGTACTTGTGGTGTTCCCCTGTGATATAGTGCTGTGCGATGTAATCGTAGGCAACGGATGTATTAGCGCTGTAAAATAAAACACTTGGTGAGCGTTTCATGCATTTAATTCACAAGGAAAAGTTTTCTATTTGACCGAATAAGTATTTTGACGGGACATGCCATAGTTGTTTTTGCCGAAGACAACAGCACTTTTTATCATGGTTATTCTTTTTTTCGAATACATAGGTCTTATACCGGCTGATTCGGAACAATTTCGACATGATGTGTCCACTCGGCAATGTGTCAAAACTATTCCGGGAATGCCCTTGGATAGTGTGAATTCGTCTATGGGCAACAGACCCTACACCGGTGGTGGTGGTGGTGGTGGTGGTGGTGGAGTTCGGGCGGACGATCAGTCCCAGTCCATGTTGCGGATGAACGTTCCCCCGGGTCCATCGGTCGTGTCATCTGGACAATCGTCTACGTCCTCATCGTCATTCATTTCATCCAACCAACAGCAGCAGCAGCAACAACAACAACAACAGCAGCAGCAGCAAGGCTATCCGCAACCGCAATCTGATCAACGGGTAAGTCGAAAAATGTCCTTCACATAGGTTTACAGGCTTCCTTACTCGTTCAGTTACAACAGGAGAGCTCTTTAGACACGGGAGTCCCCGATCGGCTGTCCTCGCCTATTGATCGACAGGGCATGGGGAGAGGGACCGAGATGAATGAACTACGTAAAGCCCTCCAGTTAAAAATCTGGTAATTAGTGTGGAGCGTTTGCAGACCTACATAGCACACAAATTTGGTAGCCTGGACGGGATTCATTCACTAAACCATGAGGGAATAGATCCATATCATACGATTTTCTTTAAAGTTCCAGTTGATGAAAAACGCTCATTGCCACATTGGAAGCAAAATGTGGTAGGCGAAACAATCTGTTTTCGATAAATTCATAACTGGCCATTACACTTACTTAGGGTTATTTGGTTTATCGATCTGGTTTTGATCGCATTAGACTAAGTACAGAATGTATGCTAAGGCTGTTTACCTGATATTCATCGCGATTAGTTCATTGGTTGGTCCCCCGGCGGTGAGCTGGGTTTCTTCAACCTATGTGGACGGTTGTTTTCTTTTAAAATTTTTTATAACATACCTAAGTGTGATGAATCTCAGACGGGACGAACCCCATAGTCTCGAGGACCTGCTGTTCAGTGATGGGAGCCGACAACTTATTCCCCGGGACTTGGAGTGGCGAACCACACAAGGCCCCGCTAGGTTAAGCTTGGTATCGAACCGGACGACAGCAGAGCTGCCTACCACCAAAGTTGTGTCACTGTGGCGGGGCTCGAACCTCGGACTGTAGGGTCCGAAGCACGCCGGTGACAGCGATTAAACCACTGCGCCACCAACACCATCACCACCTAATACGATTTTGTTAAAGCAAACTGATATGTTGAATCTTAACCTCGTATTTGTAATAAAACAACCGGAATAAACTTTTCGCGTCAGTCGAACACCCATAACTAGATTTTATCTTATCGTTGTCTTCTCGTCGTTCAGAACCTTGGTCCCATGGGTGGTGTTGATTCGGGTGCATCCAGAGACGGTCAAACGTTGCCTACACAATCAATGCAATTGGGTCAGTCCTACGGAGCCGGTCCGGGTTCAGGAGGAACTCTTTATCCTTCCAGAGCAAATACTCCATCGACTGGTCAGCAGCCGCCACCATCGATGGGGTCGTCGTATATGTCAGCGAACAATACGAACATGAAGTTCACACCGAGTGTAATGAATGCACAACAACAACAACAACAACAGCAGCAGCAGCAGCAGCAACAAGCAATGCTGATGCAACGTGATACATCCTCACCGCATCGCACCGGTGGTCCGAATTTAATTTCGGATCCACAACCTCCACCGCAGTGGATTGCGTCACAAGCTATCGATCCATACACGCAAGCGGGACAGTCTCAGCAACAGTCTACCCAGGTCGCAATGCATCATCAACAAACGATGCGTGGCATGAAAGCACACGGCCCATCACAACCACAGTCACAAGCTCAAGTAAGTTACAATTGGAATTTGCGGTCGAAACGCGCTTTGCGAGAATGAACTATCTTATATGAATGCGCGAAAATAATGGCTTCCTCCCTCTCTCATGTTTTCCACTTATCGATTAGTTCCATTATGAACAGAACCAGTCGCTTATTATTTTTTTTCTGGATAGAAGTATCCGGTGCGGTTGGTTCGAATTGGGTTCTGCTCGATATTCCCCACGTGCGTGTGTGTAGATCGTGGTCAAGCGATTCATCATGGCTTTTCTTTTCCCCTGTTTTCTTTTCATGCTTTGTCGGAATGAGGACTGGTTGTCATTATTTCGACTGCCGGTCGGCTGTGAATGAAACGTGGTGCCATTGCAACTATACCTAAACCGAAAAGGTGGAAAGGGAGTAGGGTACAGATGAAGGAATTTGGGATTTGGGATTTACGTACTCCGACCTTATTTTTGGTGGCATAACTGTGTGTTGGATGTGAAACTATTCGACTTGGGATAACTAACTGAAGGCTGCTGAAACTTCGCAGACTGGTATAGAACGCTAGATGAAGTATTGTGTTAATTGATGCATCTAATACTTTCTGCAATACTTGTGCTTTTTTGCTGAATTCGGGGAGAAAAGCTTTCGGATGGGTTATTTTGGAGAGGTAACTTTCCATATGGTTGCACAACACACAGTGTTATCATGAGAATCCATGTTATAATAAAAAAAAGTTGGTCTGGAGGGAGAGAAGGAAGAGCTTCGGTTGCGAATCCTTAAACCTTCACGTCCTTCACGTCGTTCTGGGTTAGTCTAAAACCCAGTCCGCTTGGTCACTTATCGTCTCCATCCCTCAACGATCCTGTTCCGTTGGAAACTCTACCTGAAACCGGTAGCTTGTTGGACGGCCTCTCTATAGAAGCCTGGTGATGGTTGCATTCGATCCCTATTCTTCTTTCAGTGATCACCTATGAAAATTGTTGACCGGCACGTTTAGTAGAATCAGATTTTGGCTATGGTGAGCTTGAGCGGTTAGCTACTGGGTCTGATACAATCTTGTTGCCCAAGTATCTCTATACAGTCTGATTTAGTCGACTGGATACTACTCTGTTTTAAGAACCAGGTGTTTGTGACTAACGGAACAAAATTCTGATTCATAATTGTTTCGCCCATATTAGCATGCAATTTGATGTTCGCTCCCCATGGAATAGTCTACGGGGTCTTGTCCTCTCCAGTGTAAAAAATGTGCTCGTTTCGCGATACCGGAGAACTTTCTCAGTGACGTACCTTTGTATTCCGGAATATCTTCTCGCTTTCATTCAACAATGCTCGCCAGGTTAAATTATTGTCTCTCCTTTTTTCACTAGCTTGCCTATTCTCTCAATGGGCCCATTTGAATGGTTTTCTAACATCAAACGTTTAGGATGTGCGTTGCGTTTTGTTCCTCGCGTCACGTACTGATCTGTTCATATCATTTTTCCTCTATGCTGCAANACACACACACACACACACACACACACACACACACACACACACACACATACGCCCCCCCAGGCCGTTTGGAATTTCGGTTTCATCGACTACTCAGGTTGGGTAAGAACGCGTGTGGGTTATTTATGCTTTTCCCCCCCTTATGTGTGTGCGTGTGTGTGCTGGTTTCTTTGGTCACGTTTGGGGTTTGTTTTTCTCAGTTCCAATCAGATCATCTTCATCGTATTTCTGCTCTTCTGATTCGTTGAGTTGTCCTTCATCGATTGACCATTCGCGTTTTCCCATCTCGCACTGAACGCTGCCTTGTTTTACTGTTTTTTTTTAATAAATTATTTGGTGATCGTTCATTGTTTGTGTTTTTCAATTCGGTTATTTGTAATTTCATTCAACAATTTTTTAATCTTTTTTTACGATCGAGTATCCGATTATGGGATTGGATTTCTATCTGTCTCCGTTTTCAGCCTCCCCGAATCGTACTCACACTCTCCGCCCCCCCCACCGCTTGGTGTTGGATGATGAGTACAGTTCCTTTCATTTTTCTCGAATAAATTGTTGCACACAAAGGGTGTGTGTGTGTGTGTGGGGGGTCAGCATCTTAGATTGACCAATTATTCAACAGTCACTAGTTCTGTCTAACAGTGTGACATACTGTGTGCTTGAAGGCTCTAGGCTCTTATCCCTCAGCAGGCTGATGACTACTTATGGACCATGATCTCAAATCGTCAACTACAGGTTGCATTCCTTAGGATAACCCGTTTCACTATGTTTGCCACCCCTGATCTGTATGCAGTTTTCCCATGTCCCCGACACTCGTTTAAATTCTGTCGCTTGGAATGGGCACAAGAATTTGTGTTATCATCACTATTAGTCGAATGTACAATGCGATGTGTTAGTGCTTCTTCTAAACGTAGAATCAGGTCGGATGGAGCAATCAGATGCGACCACTCGGTGCATTACACCACTAAAATCTCAGACTGGAATCACTGGTCAGTCTGTTCGACTATTTGGTATTCTATTTCGAAAGCCATTAATTCATTCATTTAAGGCTTCACTCTTCTAATGTGTCAAACGAGTTTACATCGTGTGCTTACGCCCATCAATGTTGTGGTTGTTCTCCATCACACTCGCTACCACCATTCATTTCTTCTACTGGTCAGATGAAACCTACTGCTTAATCACTTGTTCCACTAAGGTACTAAGGCACTGCAGTGCTTTTTTTAAATCATCAGACCTGTTTACTTCAGTTTATGAGTCATGCGAACGTACTAGAGATTTCTTCAGTCTNAGGGGGGGGGGGGGGGTCCCCGGAGTGTGCATTCACTACCGTTATCTGCCGAATGAATGATGGTGCTTGATCACAATGCAAGTGTACTTTCCAATTGGGCGATAATATTTCACGGGAAGTCAACATCACCTTGTTACGATTGTCATATTTTACTTCGGCGTGTGTATATATGTCAAATCATCTTATTCTCTGCACTCCGTTTGTTGCTTGTGATCGCATTACTATTTATTACGATTGAGTGTCTGTGTTTCCAGCTCGCTCAAGATTTCATAGATGCTGCATCCAACATCCTGGACCACTGACGATTGTAACCGCTATACTCCTTGCCGAACGATCGCTCATATCCCATAAACTCAATATGTGCTCACCGCAGCTAAAAAGGTCTTCACATTTCCATGCGATGGAAGTGTTTGTG